GCATACATTGCAGAAAGAGAGAATATCCCTAAAGCCTGTGTGGAAGTGAAAAAAGGCCTAAATATTATTTCTCACCACAGGTGGCTTAGAGCTTCTTCATGGAGATTCCTGGGACCCGGAGAAGAAAGATAAATATTCAACATCTGGTCTAATTAACATTTGCTTATTTCTCTCAGTGTGACATTTCACTAATAAACTCAATTGCACAGCAAAGTACCTTTGGGTACAAGCATATGTGGTGTTTTGGAATCTCAGCTGCTCTTGGCCAATCATAGTTGTTCCAGTGATGTCAAAGCATTCCCTGCAGCCTATCAGAGTGTTTAAAAACAACTGATTCAAAAGTAGGTCAATACTGTCAATATTCCCATGCTTTTAAATTCCCTTCTTCCTGCCTGCCGCTCTCATCACCTTAAGTGATAAAGCGATGCCGCCCTGTACTACTTTACTCTCTGATAAATGTTCTCCTGCACTGCTGTGAAATGTGCTTTCATTTTATTTGTGCCTGAAGGAACAGAGGAGTGTGTCTGAAGTGCAGACTCATTTACAGGAGATATATATATATGTAGGTTTCCGTGACCTTGTTGGCCCAAACAACCTTTTTTTTTTCTTGCTTGCTTGAGGGAAGTCGCTGTGCTGTGCTGCCAAGTTGCGATGCTTCACCTATGTCATGTGCATGTAGCTGCGAGGAATGGAGAGATTGGCCATGGGGATAAGATCCTGTGGCAAGTTAAACACACACAGGGGAGGGTTCAAACTGAAATGTAAGAACATAAGAGCCTGCTGAGTCAGGCCAATGACCCATCTAGTCTAGCATCCTGTTCTCAAAGTGGCCAGCTAGATGCCTGGGGGAAACCTGCAACCAGGATTTGAGCATTCTTCGCTCCAGTGGTTTCCAGCAACTGGTATTCTGGAGCATCGCTGCCTCAAACTAGAGTAAAACATGGCTAGTGGCATCGATAGCCCTCTCCTCCACAAATTTGTCCAGTCCTCTTTTGAAGCCATCTAAATTGGTGCCATCACTGCCTTCTAAGGGAGGGAGTTCCATAGTGTAATTATAAGCTGTGTGAAGAAGTAATAATAATAATAATAATAATAATAAATTTTATTTATATCCCGCCCTCCCCAGCCCAAGCCGGGCTCAGGGCGGCTAACAACACTAAAATAGTGCAACATTATAAAAACATTATAAAAATTAATTAAAATCAAAATTGATGGCAACCATAAACTAAAGTTTTGTAAAGATTGCCAAAGGAGGGAGTCAGGCTGCACCCTGACCAAAGGCCTGGTGGAACAGCTCTGTCTTGCAGGCCCTGCGGAAAGATGTCAAGTCCTGCAGGGCCCTTGTCTCTTGTGAGTACTTTCCTTTATCTGACCTGAATATTCCAACAATTCAGACTCACTGGATGTTCACATATAATTATTATTACTGTTGCTGCTGCTGCTGTTGTTAAGAAAATCTCATTTCTGCCATGAATGTAAATCACTTTATTGAAAAATATTTGCATGCTACCTTGTAGATTGCCTTGAGAACATTTTGTTGAAAAGTGGAATATGAATATTCTAAATAATACAAACAAACAAACAATCAAATAACATCGTAAGGTATGGTATGGTATGGTATGGTATGGTAAAAGGTAAGGTAAAGGTAAAGGACCCCTGGATGGTTAAGTCCAGTCAAAGGCGACTATGGGGTTGCGGCGCTCATCTCGCTTTCAGGCCAGGGGAGCCGGCGTTTGTCCACAGACAGCTTTCCAGGTCATGTGGCCAGCATGACTAAACTGCTTCTGGCACAACGGGACACTGTGATGTAAGCCAGAGTGCACGGAAACGCTGTTTACCTTCCTGCCACAGCAGTACCTATTTATCTACTGGTGTGCTTTCAAACTGCTAGGTTGGCAGAAACTGGGACAGAGCAACAAGAGCTCATCCCGTCATGGGGATTTGAACTGCCGACCTTCTGATCGGCAAGCCCAAGAGGCTCAGTGGTTTAGACCACAGCACCACCCGCATCCCTACATGGTATAGTATGGCATGGTATGGTATGAGATGGTATAAGATGGTACGGTACGAGATGAGATGAGATGTTATGAAGTTTTTCTGTGGTTTGAAGAGGGAGCCTAGCCACACACAACCACAAAGTGGAGCAGGGAGAAGAAAAGCTACTTTTGCATTCATCATTCTTCCAGGGTTTGTTCAATAGAATGAGGGCTCATCCAGACTTCCTTTTCCCCATGAAAGCTCTTTAGCTCTGAATCGGAGCAAATAACAATCCACAGAAAATCCAAACTGCCATTTGTTACGATTCAGCATTAAAGAGCAGATTTTCACAGGGGAAGCACCTGGGCAAAAAGAGAAGAGAGCTAGGACACAGAGCTTTAAAGTGTGGACCTGTGCCTAGAAAAGGATGGGGCAAAAGGTGGAAAAGCCCTGAATTTTGTCTAGTCTATTATCAGCTGAAGAATCAGTGACCTGCTTTCAAATGCCAAGAAATTTTAGGACTGCAGCTGCTCATGCCAGCAACAGATGCACCCTGGGGAGTCCTATTATGCGTCCTTTATAATAGACCCAAATTCTGTCCTTCATGAACCCTCACAGTCCAGCTTCACAAACTGGGATCTCATATTGTGATTAACCAAAGAGCACTAAACGTACATGTCTGAGCCTTACTCCTCTGTTCCTTGGCTGTATGGGAAATATACATTCCCTTGCTGGAATAATTTCAGGATCTGAATTGGTGACATAGTTATTTTGGTTTGTAGAGTTGCTCATGAAAAGGATAAAGGATCGTGCAGTATTACCATAGTAAAGAAAGAAAGAAAAATAAACCTGTATTAAACCATTCAGAGTGGCTGCCGAGGGAGAAGAAGACGCTATGAAATTTCCTGGAAATGCAAAAAATGACATCTGTTTTAGCAGCGAAAACACCATGCTGGCAGATGATCCAAGTGACCTGTACAGATGTCATCCATCAGCCCTAGTGCAGGTCACCAGATGATGAATCTATTCTAAAGTAATCCAGAAGCAACAAAGTGAGCCAGGTTCAAAATGGAGATTAAAATTTGGCCCAAGGCCTTCGTCCAAAGGATGACTGTGATTTCTTCACACACTTTAGGCAAAAAAATACATACAACTCCCATTGGAATAATATTAACTGGTGCTGCGCCAAAAATGTGTCCTCCAATTTCTCAAAAGCTTGCTTCCCCTGCAAAAGAGGTTTCTCCATTTCTGCCTCATTCTCACGGCACTTTAGAATTTCTTCAGAATTTCTGTAGGTGCAGGTTTTGAACTTGCCTTATTGTTTGCAAGGTGACCAAGAATGATGCAGGCATTTTTCTTTCCAGTAAACCAGGTGTGGGGAGCTTTAGGCCCTCCAGATGTTGCTGAACTGCAACTCCCATCTTCCCTGACCATTGGCCAGGCCTGCTAGGGCAGATGGGAGTTGTAGTTCAGCAACATCTGGAGGACCAAAGGCAGAAAGTGTTGTCAAAATAGCAGAGCAATCCTAACTTTGAGCTGTGGAGAAGCAGATCAGAGGATCTACTGCTGGCCAAGGTAGAAGGTGGGGAGCAGGTATTCCTTTTATTTTACTATGCTGGCTCCAGGCTGGCAGAGCTAAGAGGTCTGAGGATAGATCCATCACCTGCTAGCTAGGTCACACCTGGGGCCTCTGCTGTGTTGCAGTCCCTCTTGGCGGTGCAGGGGAGAATTCTCAAAGTTTTTCCACTCAGACGGCACAATTTCTACCCATCTAAACAACATAAGGATTAAATCAGATATGGGCAAACTCGACCCTCCAGATGATTTGAGACTACAGTTCCCATCATCATCTGACCACTGGTCCTGTTAGCTAGGGATGATGGGAGCTGTAGTCCCAAAACATCTGGAGGGCCGATTTTGCCTATCCCTGGATTAAATTATCAAAATCCCAAAAGACCATAACACTGAGATCACTGGAATATTTGTGCCTGGTATAACAAGGAAAACAGATCCTCAATGCTGTGTCCAAATACTTCTATGTCAAGTATCAAGTCAGCCATATAAACCACAGCATGTTGTGAAGTGCATAATCGATTTTGTGCTGCACGACACCCATCAACATTCATAGTAGCTGTGTGTGAGTGAAACTTCATACTGTGCTTAGAAAATGCATCTCCTTGAGGATACTGATTCAGCATCAGCTGATGCAGAATTACAGCAGCAGCCACAGACATTTTGAGCATGTTATATGCTATTTAAAAGGTTGCATTGGTAGATTATGGAAATGTCACCACCTTTCAAAAGGAAATATTTCAGCCTCCACAGAATATGAGCAATCCAAGATGAAAGATTTATAGTAGTGACATTTTTCTTCCTAAATTAAAAGATTACACTTTTGAATTTTTTTTTGTCCATTTGTGTGTGTGTACATGCACACACATGTTGCATGTTTGCCCCAAACAAACAGGTTAGAAGCTCCTCTGCACTAGCTTTGAGGGAAGGTCAATACTGCTGACTTAAGGAAATCAGCCCTGAGTGCTCACTGGAAGGACAGATCATGAAGCTGAGGCTCCAATACTTTGGCCACCTCATGAGAAGAGAAGACTCCCTGGAAAAGACCCTGATGTTGGGAAAGATGGAGGGCACAAGGAGAAGGGGACGACAGAGGACGAGATGGTTGGACAGTGTTCTTGAAGCTACAAACATGAGTCTGACCAAACTGCGGGAGGCAGTGGAAGACAGGAGTGCCTGGCGTGCTCTGGTCCATGGGGTCACGAAGAGTCGGACACGACTAAACGACTAAACAACAACAACAACAACAATACTGCTGAAATGTGCCATGGTACAATATATGGAAACAACGACTAGCAGGGATTATGCAATTGTCTTCCCTCCTTTGTCCTCCTGATGTTTCTGTAGAGGCTTGCTATATGAGCCAAAAACATCTACAAGAAAGCTCCATCTGGAATTAGATCCTGAAGACTGTTCCTGTTACCAATTGCCTGAATCCTGTATGTCCACACTACTAGCTCAGTGGCAGAGCACCTGTTTTGAATGCAGAAGGTTCCTGGTTCAATCCCCAGCATCTCAAGAAAGGCATGGGAGAGAACCCAGCCTGAAACCCCAGAGAGCTGCCATCAGCCAGTGTAGACAATTCTGAGCTAGCCGGACCAGATAGGCTCTTCTGAACCATGGTGAAACAAGCAGGGGGTACTGGGGGTAATGGCTCACTTTCAACCCAGCTGAGAGGCACTGGGAGGCCCCACTGGCAGAGGATATGATGCAATGGCGTGAGGAATCACTTCTGCACTCCTGACATATCAATCTGAAAATTCATTTTAATCAAAATTGTGATCTAATGCAGTGTTTTTCAACCTTTTTTGGGCAAAGGCACACTTGTTTCATGAAAAAAATCACGAGGCACACCACCATTAGAAAATGTTAAAAAATTTAACTCTGTGCCTATATTGACTATATATAAAGTAATTCTCTTGAATAGGAATCAAATAAACACAAAGTATTTTATAATTACTTTATTATGAAATAGTAAGTAAACAGAAATATGAAAAATTATAAAATACTTTATTCAGTGCGCAACCTGGGCCTGTTTGGCTGAACACAAAGCTGATATTCTGGCTGGAATCGAAGAAAGACACACATGTAGCTCTTCGTCAACAGCTCTCAGTCTCTCTCTGTATTTAGTTTTTATAGCAATCATGCTTGAAAAGCTCATCTCACACAGATATGTAGTGGAAAATGGGAGCAATGTCAAAATAGCTTTGTTTGCCAGAAGAGGGAACTCCTTGGCAGTATCCAACCAAAAACTGTCCAAAGGTAGATCAGCAAATCTTAGCTTGAAACCACGATTTTGTCTCAGTTCAGTTAGTTCCTCCTGCTCCTGTAAAGTCATGTCCTTTCCACCAACTGATGCTGAGCTATAAGGGTCCCTAACCCAGTCAAGGCATTCAGTGGAGACTGAAGAGAAATAAAATGACAACTTCTCCGGTCCTCCTGGTGACTCGAGTTGCGACATCTTCTCTCCGCTGCTGCGCACACTGTGCTCGGGCGGGAAGGAAGTCGGAAGATGATGTCCTACTGTGATAGGTCCAGGCTGGAGTCTGGACCAATCACAGCCCGGACATCAGAAACGTAGAGGGTGTCCCCCTGAGGAGCGCCAATCGGCGCCCCTGCTGGCCGAGGGTGGGGTCAAAAACCTCACCCCACCCATACCCAGGACACAGTCCGGCGCCTGCCTAGTGGGCAAAAATTTGAATTTTTTTTAAAAAAATCTTTCGAATTTTTCAATTTTTCCCACGGCACACCAGGCAACATCTCGCGGCACACTAGTGTGCCGCGGAACAGTGGTTGAAAAACACTGATCTAATATATCTACTCTTGGTGTCTATTCTCCCGTATTCACTCCTGGCCCTGCTCTGTTGCCAGCTTCAGGCACAATAGTATTGCAGTGGGGGAAAGTTATATCATAAAGAAAATTACCAGAACAAATGCACACTGCCATTATTTTTCTGTGTTCCTTTCGTCTAATTGTGCTAGTGTTGATGTTCTTATGTTGACCTCAGGGACCGTGGCCTTAAATCTGGACAGTTGTAGCTGTGGTTACAAAACATCCTGAGAGATCCCAGGGGCTTTTATTAGCATATTGAGTGGGATATTCAAGAGTAACATGAAAACTTGCAACACTGGACCTTCCATTTTGTGAGGACCAGGCTACAAGCTTCCTAGTTTAGTCCTGTGAGAAGAACTTCCCAAGGTTTGCCTTCCTCCATATAAGCTGTTGCCCTATGGCGTTTCCCTCAATATGATCTCCAATGCAGTTCTTTTTTAAAAAATTGCTTATTTTCCAAAATAAATGTTACAAGAGTATGTTTTTCCAAAACAAAAACCATGGCACTTAATCCAGTGGTTAAGAAAATTCCTACAATGACAGGCCAGTATGTGTATGGATAGAAACATAGTATTAGTTGTGGAAATAATTTTCAGAGATCAGTTGAGATTCTTTTTAAAAAAGGAAACATCTTGGTTTTAATAAAAACTCAGTGGATGGACACGCTCATACTCCACTTGAAGAGATGTTATTCAGTTTCAGGAAAACTGAACGCAGGTCCCCTTGGTTTGCTTTTCACTCTCCTCTGCCTTTCATAAAGTTTCCCATAGAAATCTCAAAATATTATTTTAGACTTCTCTGGTTTCAGATACCAATGGGAGATGCTGCTGAGACATGCACTTTACTGTAGCTACATCTCAAATGCTTCTTAGACTTCGAGGAGTTTAAATAGCAGCCTGCTTTGTGAGAAAGAAAACACACAGAGGGAATACGGGGAATACGCAGGCCAGTCTAGGCCAGCCTCCCCCCAACTTGTGCCCTCCAGATGTTGTTGGAACTCCCACCAACCCCAACCAACATGGTCTGCTTGAGGGCTTCCTGGAGGCATCTGGTTGGACGCTGTGGGAAAGAGGATACTGGGCTAGAGAGGCCGTTGGTCTGAACCAGCAGAGCTGTCCTTACGTTCTGAAAAATAAATAATCAAACTGCATTACTTTACTTTGCCTGCATTGCCAACATATTGTAGCGGCCATAGTTTTGGCTTTGTATAATTTCAGTCTGAGGTGCTTGAAAAGATTAATAAAATGTATGCCAGGTAAAATAAAGTGTACTCATTAAGAGTAGACTTGTAAAGATACTGGAAGTCCTTGACGCACCTTTCTCATTAAACAAACCAGTTCATTGTTCAAATAGGGATAGAAGAGACTTTGCCAACCTGGTGTGGTGGCAGCTGAGGATGACGATGGGGTTGAAGCCCAAATCTTCTGCAGGGCAGCAGGTTGGCAAAGGCTGGGATGCAAAATAAGGGTGTGATCCACTCCCTCTTGCACATGCCACAAAACTTCATTTCCCGACGACACAATAAATTATTCACACTGTGTACACTGGCACCAATTTACTGTTATGTGTGTGATTTATTCTGAGGCTATTTCCAGAAGTATGAATGCTTGGCGAAAGGATTCCTTGATTGATTCCCTTGTTTATTTATATTCTGCCTTTTGACCTCAAAGCCTTTCAAGGTGGCTCATAAAACTCTGCTGAATGTTTGTGGTCAGGGGTAGAGTCTGCTGCTGCAGTACTATTCCTTGCCCCTGTATACATACATTCTACCTCTCTTTACATATTTATATAAGGCAGCAACCTTATACATCTTTTTCTGGGAATAAGCCCCACTGGGACTTCCTTCTGAATGGACATTGATACAATTGCTCTGCTAAAGCTTTATATGCATTTTTCCATATAAGGTTATATAATATGTAATGCCATGCAATGTAATTTGGTTTTGGCAGGCCAGATTTAGACTTAGAGTTTGCTCTGTGTGAGCTATCAGAGCAGCCCCTGCACACAAATCTCATTCAAATAAAAATACATCTTTGAAACCTACAGATCTTTTGTCATATCTGGTGTTGAATCCACACAACTGAGTTGTGCAGCAGCTTAAACATTATTAAATTTATGATGGCACCAGCTTTCATGAACTGAAATCCACTTCACAGAGACACACCAAGGGAGTCTCCCTAATTTTGTAGCTCCTTCCATATCTGTGTGGGCTTTGTGAGCAAAGTATCATGTCTCCCACTTTCAAATGAGCTTTTCCAGAGAAATGAAAACTAGTGTGAGGCTGCAGGACTGTATGTCTGAGGAGGATTATTCATGAACACACAGTTCATGTGCGGTCAAAAGAGTGTCAGAAGGAGTACACACATCATTTGGAGGCTGCAGTCTGATCTTGCAAGACTTCTAGAACAGATTGTATGTGACAAACTGCACTGAGTCTTAAGGCCTCCTTGGCTAGTCAAATAATTCAAGGAAAGGTGAGATGGCAAGGCATGTTCTTGAGCCCATAGCAGCTATTTATCCTTGGAAATCAAGTCATCATATCGGTTTATCACAAGGCGCAATGTCTGGTTTTTCATAGCTCTGACCATAAGTCAGCTGTGGGAGTGTGTAGGAGCAGCAATGTCTTATCAAAGTAAAATAGGCTAATCACCTGGAACCATATGACTTGGAGTCTGCATTCCAGACTTTCCCAACATGGTGCCTTGCAGATATTTTGGACTTCAACTCCCACCATCCCCAGCCAACATGACTAATGGCCAGGGATAATGAGAGTTCAACATTTCACAGAGGATGCCACATTGGGGTAGCCTGTTGCATTTGTTAGCATAGGAGTAGGTAACATGGTGCCCTCTAGGTGTTATGGATTACAACTGCCATCAGCTCCAACCAGGATAGCCAATGGTCAAGCCTAATGGGAGCTGTATTCCACCACACCAAAATGGCTTCACTTTGGCTACCCTTGCAGCAGCAGCAAACCCTGCAATCTCACCTTTTGTAGCCAAAGCTGGGTAAGAGGAAAGCGTGGATCTTCAAATGCTTGCCTTGCGGCAGATTAACAACAATGAATGGTTTCTGCCTTCACAAGCAGCTTGTGCCTTCCCTGGGTGCATGGCTCTTCCTAATGCTATGAAACCCACACTTTAAAAAAAGTTGGTCTGTTTGTTGCAAGGGAAGTTAGTGATGAGATCTAAGTGCTGGGAATCTACCACTTTATCAGGATGCTTTCCCATGGAGAGTTGGCCAGATAAAACATTTGGGCTTGAAAGCTCTGCTACTGATTCTGTACGTAAGAGGAAAGGGGCCAGGGTGACTTTCAATTCAGATCTGCAAGTCAATAGCCTTTCCTCAAGTGGAAGCAGTAGCTCTGCCAAGTGGCTTCCCTTACTGGGACTACAAAGCTGGGGTTTGAGATGGTTATTTAACTTAAAATGAAATGAAATATAACATTATGTGATGAGCTTTATATTAGTCTAGAGTATGTGCTTGAAATAATGATGATGATGATAACATAACAATAACAAAAGCAGCAAAAAGAGCAATAAATAATTCCGACAACAGCAACCCATGTTCCCTGTCTCATATAAATTACAAGACGACGGTGGGGTGGGTGGGTGGGGGGAGGATACGAAGAGTACAATTGATTAAATCTCTACTCGGAAATAAGTCCCAATGAATTCAATGGGACT